TCTGCAGTTTGGAAGAGAGCCCTCACCAGAACACTACCATGCTGGCACCCTGATCTCAGACTTCCAGCCTCCAAATCTGTGAGAGATAACTTCCTGTTGTTTATGAGCCACTCAGCTTATGGTAATTTGTTATAGCAGCCTGAACTGGTAAAGACACTTGCTTAACTCCTTTCCCTGGTCTCACTCTCTAAGAAGATAAAAGATAAAAGCCAAGCTCATGAGTCCTTGCAAGAAAATTAGAAAACCAGTGCAGAAATCTCCAGTCTTCAGGGTGTCGTGTGTAAGGGTAGCGGTATGAGGTAGGAGGCATACCTTGTCTGGGATCGTGCGGGACTGTGCACGGCTTAGAGGAGAAAGGGGTTGAGGGAGCAAGGGTTGGGGGATAGGATGGAGTGGACAGGAGAGTGAACTTGGTGAGGTGGAAGAGCAGGAGCTACCTAAGAGTTAATAATAGCTATTTGGCCTGAGTATTTGATACTCTTAAATGTGTGACAGAGAATTGTGTCAAGACTGAAATTGCAGGGGGAACAAGTACTTCCGTCAATGTGGCCATGATGCTGGTTTGACTGGAGACTCCAGGATTCCTAACACTAGAGCACATTGAAAGATGTTGTCTCTGTGCCCACAGAATGTAACCCTGTGTCACTCATTCTGTCAGGACTTCACTTCTCCCTGGGCTCACAAGGACCCCAGAATTCTCCCCTCATTAACTTTTCTCAGGCTCATTCCTGTCCTATTCTCAAAGCATCTCTGTGCCCACATGAGCAGTCCTCAAATGTGGGGCATTGCCTGTTATCTAAGATTGTTGCCGTTTGGTGAATTATCTGAGAAGGGCACTAGATTTGAACTTGGTTCTTCCTCTTAACTTTTCTAAGGCTTAAAACAAGTGAGTATCCCTCAACTTCACTTTTTCTCCTTTGTAAAATGTGAATGACATCTACCCCTTACAGTTTTTAAGGTGCTGTGAAGACTGTAGAAGTGATTATTAATAAAATTTATCCCAGCCATTTAGCTTTGAAAACTTGTAGCCATTCATTTATTTAACAAATATTTATTGAGCACATACCCTATAGCAGGTACTGTTATAGGTGCTGTGGATATAGCAGTGGACAGAATGGACAATGGCCCTCAAAGAATTTTCATTCTAGTGGAGGGAGTCAGCCAATAACATACCCTATAGCAGGTACTGTTATAGGTGCTGTGGATATAGCAGTGGACAGAATGGACAATTGCCCTCAAAGAATTTTCATTCTAGTGGAGGGAGTCAGCCAAAACCCAAGTAAAACGCATGGTGCATCAGGAGAGAATGAGTGATTCAGAGAAAAGAGAAGTCAAGAAGGGGGTTGCTACAATTTTAAGTAGGATGTTCAAGGAAGGCCTTACTGAGAAGTTCACAATTAAGCAATAACCTCAAGGAGCTGAGGAACACGGAGGATATCTGAGGGAAGAATGTTCCAGGCCAAAGTGAATCACTGGTGCCAAGACCGTTAGGTGGAAGCACACCTGGTGTGGGCAGGATTAAGAGGAGGGGCAGAGCAGTCATGGGAAGCCCATTCATGTAGGGCCCTATTGGTTGCCCTACTGGTCTCTCTATGGAT